ATCACAATGATACATGATCGCATATGTCACAGTGAGACACAGATAATCTGCCTCACGCTGTTTCTGAGCTCCTGGGGGGAGCAGGTTGTCTAAGCACCTCGATGCCATGGTGATAGACGTCATGTTAATGCCTCTGTGCACGGAGGGAGCATTTTAAAGACATCGGTCTGTGCCTCTAGGAGTCTCTTTGTGACTTGGCATTGGGAGGTGGCTGAGGGCCAGGCTGCCGCGGAACATGGGCACGGGCACTGCCTCTGCTCCTGCCTGTCACACAGGTGCTGCTCTGCCCCCTGCCCCCTGCTCCCAGCCCTGAGCCCCCTCACCCTGCAGTCCAAGTTCCAGTCTCAAGATGCTCCCTGTCTAGGGAGGAAAACAACCCCCCACCCCCACCCCAGACAGGATTTTCACCTGCCCCGAGTGAGTGGGCGCAAGACCCCGGGCTGGCCGCGTTTTGTTTCCACGTTCAGGAGCTGCCTGCCTTCTCTGCATTTCTTCCCCAGGCTGCACTGTGGGCAGATGGACAGGAAGCAAAAGTGCCCTACAAAAGGGACCACTCCCCTGCCTACCCCCACTGCAGGAAGTCACTTCCTTCCTCCCCACAGACTCCAGTTCGAGGAGCCCTCCAATTGGAGGGGCCCCCTCATAATGACCCTCTACACCGGCCTGGTGCCTGAGATCCAGAGCGTCTCACTCCTCCAGTCCTCGGGGTCCCCACTGCCCTGGGGTTCCAGGGGTGGATCGATCTGCTCCTTGTTCCCTTCCATCCTCTCCTTCACGCACCCCTGCATTGGAGAGGGCTGTTGTGGAGGGTGGCCTCCCTCCTCTCCTAGTGACACCCAGGTGTGCCCCTCTCCTAGTGACACCCAGGTGTGCCTTGGGGTGTCCTTTCTGCACCACGTAGCAGTGGGCAGTGGGGTGGCACTGACCCCACTGCTTTCTAGAAGGAGACCTGACCACAAGGCCAGGGGCATGATTTGGTCCCTAAGAATCAGCTGTGACTCAGTTGAAGGAGGCCCGTCTAATTGAGGGCTGGGCTGGCCCACAGTGAACCAGCCTCCTTTCTCAAGAGGCAGTGAACTCGCTGTTACTGGAGGTGTACAAACCCATCTGGAAGCTATCCACCCTGCATGCTCCCGGGAGATTCCTGTGGGGGCTGGAAGGCTGACCTGGCCCATC